CCCAGGTAAACAACTAATCCAATGGCCTAATGGACCACACAAGCATTAGTCTCCATAACCTTGAGACCAGAAGATGGTGCCTGGCTACCAATACCGACTGTTCTGAAAAGGATCTTATTAGAAGGTTGTGGATAGTGGGAGGGAAGTGTGGAACAGAAGTCAAAATTATAAGAGGCCAGGCTTATGGGTCAGATAGAAGCTGATGAGGTCTCAAGGCTATGGCATGTAGTCACAGGTCTGGAAAGGAACTTACATCTGGTAGCATAATCAAATAATCAACCATTTAAAAGGCAGTGATTGCCTTTTATAAAGCATTTATACAGGACAGATGATTAGGAAAGGAGGAGAAACGGAAACAGGAAACACTGGGAGGAAGTGAGATAAGGTTGATAGATTGATGATATTGAAATGGATGAGCTGAAACAAAATGTGTATAAACTGCTGAGTGTTAAGCTCATGGTTTGCTCTATAAACTTTCACCTAAATCACAACATGAAGTTTAAAACAAAAAATGCAAAAAATATACATTTTCCTTTTATTTATAAGAATGCCTTTTCCAGTGCCTTTTCTTACAACTTAAAGAAGAATCAGAAAAATGTTGGAAACTGGGTAGTTGACCTTCTCTACAGAGAAGGTCTTCTCTACAGACCTCTTGCCAAGTCGAAAACTAAATTTCCCAAGACTGCATGCAGAAAATGAACTCTGTTGTAAGCACAGTGACTTAAAATTACTTACGGCTCTTCTGTCCAGTCTTTTTAAACTCTCACCAAATGACTGGGTGGGATCATGAAAATAAAGTGTAGAGTACTCTAGGGGATTGGTCAGCTTTGCCATTCCTCCCGGGATAAAGTGAGTCACCCGAGAAACAGGAACAGAGAGAATCCCATGACCACCAAGAAAGAAGGGTCACCAGCATAGCAGATGCCAGATTCCTGGGGGAAGTGAAATCTTTGGGGTCACCAGTAACCTCGGCACAGACCATTAAACAGAATTGTGGGCTTCCTGATTCGTGGAAGAAGTAAATCTGAGTGGCTCTAGGCTGGCTTGCTGAATAGGGTGCCCTTTGGGCTTTTACTACCATTAAAAGGAGCTTTGCAACACACAAGCTCAAGCAGGGCAGAGGCGAAGGGGCCTATGGCTCAGTGGCTAAAGACCAGAGGGAGATGTGTCAGCTGGCAAAGCTGAGAAAAGTCACTGCTGTGGACAAAAGGACTGTTTCTTAAGGTCTCCTAATCATGACTTGCTGTAGCCTGCTATCTTCCCTAATAAACACCAAAATTGTAAGTAAAAAACAATTTTTAAAAACATACTGTATGTAGAACATAACCGAAATCTAGTATATAAGAGAGATACGATCTCAAAAAGGGATTGCTGTGTGAAGTTATTTAACATCCCAACAATCACCCTACACTAGCATAATCATAATTACTGTTCTTAAATTTGCAACTTTAAAACAAAACCATTTTATCGAGGGCTCTTACAGCTCTTGTAACATCCATACATCAATTGTATCAAGCACATTTTTACATATGTTGCCATCATTATTTTTTGAACATTTATTTTCTATTAAGCCCTTGGTGTCAGCTCCTCTTTTCCCCCACTCAACCGCCCCCCCCTCCCACCTCGTAGCCCCTTGATAAATTATAAATTATTTTCATAACTTACACCAATTGCTGTCTCCCTTCACCCACAGTTTCTGTTGTTTGTCCCGGGGAGAGGGGGTACAGTTATATGTTGGCCATCATGATCAGGGACTCCCTTCCTCCTCAATCTGCCACTTTTAAAGACAATGATCTGGTTTTATTTTACTGCATTTATACTTGTAAACTGCATGATCCTAAGTCATTAGCACTTTAGGGTTGGCTGTAAGATGTACAAGGGGGTTCCTTGAAAGCTTTGTGGGAATATGCTTTCATTCTATTTTCCATAAACTTTTTGAATTTTTTAATTTGGTTAAGTTAAAATAAAAATGTACTAGCATTTTAAAAAAAACACATGAAAAACCAATGATGCCTCTCCATTGTGTAACAACCCCTGTAAAAAGTACTCTAAACAGTAGAAGCTTTAGTGGATGCATCTTTGGCTCCCTATCCCTAGGCCTTTCCTAGCTCTACTCAAATTCAGTTCTGGGTGAAGGTGTTCAGGTGATGGAAAGCAGAGATTTTAGAAGGTTAGGAGGGGGGCAGAAATCAGAGCAGAACACTTCAGGCTTACTCCATTCATGAATATGAAAAAATGCTAAACTGGAAAGACAGCAAACCCAGAAGAAACAAGCCTCAAACAATCATGCACACTGTATGTCCCTTATCCCTGTGACTACGGAGGTGAGCAGAATGCTTCCAAACTGATAACTTTTCAAAGCCATTTAACTCTCTTTGTTTCTCAATAAACAGAACTGCTCATTACAATCAGTTTATAACATGACAACTCATTTTTTCTGAAACAGCAAACTTCACATGATAACCAGTTAGGTCACTTTTTGAAAAGTTTTGTAAAGTCTCAGTCAATTATTTCAAAAAGATCACTAATGAGCTTAAAAATAAATGTTTTTTCCAGAGTGATCTGTAACTTCTCTTCAATCATGCAGTTTTAGTCATTCCTAAATAAAGAAAACATAATTTTCTTGCTTATTTCCTTGCTCCTGTACCACCTGTGTTGAGACCTTCCCATCTCTTCATTTGATTTTGCCCTCTGCTTTAGGTTAGCCACTAGCTATGTGTGGGGTCAAGTTTTAGGTTGCTAACTGACAAGTCAGGGGTTCAAACCCATAAGAACTCACCAACTGCTCTGAGGAGAAAGATGAGGCTGTTTGCTGCCAGAAATATTTACAGCACTGGAAACCCTAGGGAGAAGCCCTACTCTTCCCTATAGGGTCAGTATGAGTCAGGAATGATTCAATGTCAGTGGGTAGCCCAGTCTGACTAGTTACCATCTGAACTATGAGTATAGTTAGATCAAAATGAGATAGACAAAAATATAAAATACACACCAGAGTTTGAAGACTTAATACTACAACAACAAACTCCAGATTGTATGTTGAAATATTATTTTGGAAATATTCCAAAAACTCCAAATTCACTATCACTGTGTCAATTCTGACTCACAGTGACCCTGTAGTACAGGGTAGAACTGCACTTGTGGGTTTATGGGACTATAACTCGCTACACGTATCTTTCTCTCGGGGAGGGATTTGTGGATTCAAACTGCAAACCTCGAGGTTAGCAGCCCAACTCATAACCCACTATTCCACCAGGGATCCTTTTGGAAATAGTAAAGTGAGTAAAATAGGTTATTAAAATTAATTTCATGGTGGTTTTAGTTTTTAATATGAAATTTAAAATTTTGTTTTAAATTTTAAATGTCAAATTTTAAATTATACACATGGCTCACATTAGATGTGGAGGCTTACAAATCTTTGTGGAAAAGTTCCAGTATCTTTTAATTCCATTTCTCCATTGACTTTTTGAAGCTCACTTGTATTTCTACTGGACAATATCCATGAGACTTTACAGCTTATCTAATGACTCCCTCAACTTAACTTCCATAACACGTATTCACATTCCAAAGAATTGGACCAAGTTTACCATGTCAACGGGTTTATCACAGCTCCCCAATTCCAATACATGCAAATTGAGAATAAAACCCACATCTAACTCAAACTCAAACCAAACCCCAAACCACGGAGGTTCAGGGCCGAACTGCCCCTGTGGGTTTCCGAGACTAGAAGTGTTTCTCCCACAAGTGCTGGCTGGTTTTGACATTGCAATCAGCAGCCCAAGGTGTCATCCCTAAGTCACAGAGGCTCTTACCCACCCTCCTCGCCCATAAAACCCAAAACCAACAAAACATCTAGGTCACCTTAAATTATCCTCCTACTCTTAGGAGCTTACCTCATTGTTTTATGTGTTTTAATTCAGAGTTTTAACTTCTCCATTACTAAGCTTTCCAGTTTCGTCTCGGGGATTAAAGGCTGTAGCTACCAAAGCCCTGTATTATTTTTAGGTCAGTACGATGACAATGAGTTGTATACCTACGATATGATGAAGAAGCACATCAAAAACTAACACATGTACATATAGTCAACACGCTTAGATCAAGTGTAATAAGAACGCACAAATCGGCAAAGGTTCCTTTTTAACAATGTCTGCAAAAGTGCATTGTAAAAACCTACGTGTAAAAAACAAACAAACATACGTGCATTTTTTTTTAAGTTGGACACTGCGGTTTAGGGAGCCCTGCTGATGTAGTGGTTACATGGTAGGTTGCGATCAGCATGTCTGGTAGTTCGAAACCCCCAGCAGCAAGTCAGGAGAAAGACTGGACTTCCTGCTCAAGTAAAGAGGTACCATCTCGGAAACTTACCCGGGGTCGCTATGAGTCAGCACTGCCTCGAGGGCCTGAGTCTGGTGGGTCTAAGTCTACACACAAACACCACGGCTCCACAACCCTGCCTGATCAATCAGGCAATGGCTTGGGAGCGGTACATCGCACCCAGAGCTTTCACGTGAAAATCGACATCTAATAAAAGTAGTCGGAAGGAAAAAGACTTGTGCCAAAGTGATGAACGGTGCAAATTGCTGGCGCGTGAAGCACGAGTTTGAAAACCTGGGTAAGTACATACATTAATCTAAATCTAGACATCTCAATTATGTGGGAGGAATCCTCCAATTGGATACCTCAGGCAAAGGTCACCGTGGTCGTTTCACACCGAGGTCCCCTCGCAATGGTATCCCAGCGCTTCTGGTTTCTATTTAGCAAACTTCCCGAGCAGCTGCTCCCGCCCCGGGCCGCGGACCCCGCCCGAGGCCGGGACCAGGTCCACACCCCTCGCTCGCGCGCGCCTGGCCCCGCGCCGGGGAGCGCAGCGGGCGGGGCGCGGGGCGGTCTTCCCGGCCCCGCCGCCGTCTGCCACGGTGTCCCCGGGACCGGCGGGGGCGGGAAAAGGGGGGGAGGAGAGGGGACGGGAGGGTAGTGGGAGTCACCGCCGAGCTTTCACTCACCAGCCATCGCCACTCGTCGGCAGTGGCGGGAGCTCGTCTCCGGCCGCCATTGCTGTTGACGTCCACGTCACTTTGCCGAAAAGTGGGCCGGCGCCGGGACCGACTCTGAGACCTGGATGACGTAAAAGGACCTCGGAAGTCCGCAGCCTGGTTTCTCAACGGAGGAAGAACGAGGGAAGACGCTGGGACTGAAGGAATGCTACGTCAAGACGTCCCGGGGGCGAAAAATAGCCGCGGACGTCTGGGGGCGGAGACGTGAAGGAAGCGCTGCCCTGCCAAAGACTCTATGTCCCAGCATGCCACGGGCCGGCTGGGCGGAGTGGGCGGGGCGTGGGGCGGGCTCTTCCCACGCCGGTTTGGACTCGGGCCGGCTGGATGCCGAGCGCGGCGTCGAGCGTCTGGTTGGCGTCTCCATCGTAACTCGGCGTGAAATCGAGCAGACTATGAATTGAGTGCTAATTAAGGGGGAGAGCACGGGAGGGGAGAGGAGAACCCACACTTGAGAATTTTACTGTGGCTGCGTTTGAGGAGTAGGTTGTTAGGCAACCTTTACGTGTGGGACCCGATCAAAAGTATAGTTGGAGGACAACATACTTTGTCTAAGGATTTTAAAGTTATGAATCAGTGTTGCACGGTGTTGGCCCTCATCTAACCTACAGGCTGGTGGTTGGAATCCACCGAGTACCACATAGGCGTCCCGGTGGCATCGTGGGCTACCCGATTGGGCAACGAACCACACGATCGACAGTTTGAAACCACTATCCGCTCCTACGGGCAAAGACTGGACTGTACTCTTGGTACAGTCTCAGAAACCCACGTGGTCAGTTCTACTCTGACCTGCCTGGTCCCAATGTGTTGCAACTGACAAGATGTCACTGTGGCAAAAAGGCCCAGTGTTGTGCTTCTACAAAATTATAGCCAAGAAAACCCCTTAGAGCCACTCACTATAATAAAAATGACTTCATGACAATAGCTTTGTTTGTTTGACATCAAACAAAGGAGATGTGTTCTGGTCTTTCACCTTAATAAATTTATCTTTCAAACAACCTG